GTCATTTGAGACAGTTTACCAATATACTTATAATATACAATATATTACTGTATGCTCTTGTGTGAAATGATTGACTGAAGAGTTATTTGGGTAATTAATGAAAGAAATTACATTTGCCTTGATGACTGGAATCAACATTTAGAATTTTTCTTTGGGTGGGAAAATCCAGGGATTTTGTTTTATTCGTTGCTTTTGAATGTAGACTCAGAATTATTACAATTATACTGTTGTATTTTTATGTCCATTTAATTTAAATGAGATTTACTTTGGATAATTCAAAATAGTTTAGTCACCTTAAATAGATCAGCACTTTCAAGATTTAGAATACGGTTTTCTATATTAGTTAATCTGATTTTAATATTAAATCCAGAAGTATTATATTTACCGGACATAAGCTTAATGATGAAAGTAAGTTAATTATGTGATTGAAGAAAACCATCATTAGTTTTCTGTGAGATAATATATCACTAAATAAATGATTTGAAAGGATTAGTAAGTCTTCCTTATGGGATCAAGATCAGTATTAAACGTAAAAGGGGCCATAAAAATTAGTAATATCCCACAAGAAATTCCATTCAATGAGTAAAAGCGTTATGAGATACCAACTTAGCAGAAGAGGTAATTTCAGAAAAACAGGAAATGATGTGAAAATAAAAGCAGCTATTCAAAAAATCAAATTAAATGCCTATATACTGTGACCTTAGTTATGACATATTTAAACTAATAATTTATGTCTCAATTATTTGTATATAAGAAAGGCCATTCTATTAACTCAAATTTATTTCTTCCTTTTCTGTTTAAAAAATTATGTGATTCATTTTTTGCAATTTTTCTTTTGTTTTTCTGCTGTTATGATTGCTGGATATATAAAGAGCTATTCATTGCTGTGTTCTCCAGGAAGCGTTCATTTTCCAATAGAATTTGAAGCATACTAAAATATTAACTATATTCGTATAGCATACCGCTCAAGTAAGGCCTCTGTAACTATATTTGCCCAAATGTGAACTTCTTATTTTTTTCATTCATTTATATTTTATTTATTTATTTCTTTTTTTATCATTATATAATGTAATTGCCGAATGTGAACTTTTTAAAGGGGTTCCCCATCAATTATAATTTCTGACTCTTCACTGAAGATACAGGTCCATAATAATCTTATTTCTTATACAAATCCTCTGAGGTATTTCAGCTAAGTCTTTAAGCAAAAACTCAAACCCAATCCCAACAACTTCAAATCCAGTTGTTTTTCTAGGATTCCCTAAAGGCTTCTGTGCTTCTGTATATATGTGTTTTTTTTTTTCCAGAAAGACCCAGTGAACTCTCTAGAAAATCTAGAAGAAAAAAAGTTTCCTGGAGAGGCCTCTATACCAAGCCCTAAACCCAAGCTCCATGCAAGAGATCTCAAAAAAGAACTAATCACGTAAGTGGTATTCAGTGCCATGCTTTGTAAGATTCTGGAATTAAGACTGAAATTCATAATTTTGGGTAATAATATCCTGGCTTATACAGTTGACTGTAAGACTGTTTTAGGGCAATTTCAACCAGTCAGTAGTTAAGTGTTAAAAATGTACTTAAATCTGTGCACCAAACTAAGAGGGCTATAAAAATAAATAAGTAAAATAAAAATAAAAAATATAAAAGGGTACACGAGTTGGTTTTATCCTAAGAGAACTATAAATCTGTTGATTAAAAAAATAATAATAAGATAAGGCAGTTAGAATGTTTGTGTTTCCACCATAGTTTCTTAACCTGAGATCCACTGGCCCTGGAGATCTAAGACTTGGCTTCAGGAGTCTTCTAACCATATAATTCTTTAGGCAAATTGTTATTTGGATAAGGGAGTTAAAGGTTCTCATCACATTCTCAGAGGTGTTTTGTGACGCAGACGAGTTTAAAGACCAGAGAAGCTGAAGGCAGTAAGTACTAGTTATGTACTAGTGAGTGAGTGAATGAAATGCGGGAAACTGTTTTCCACATGTAAGTGATTAAATCGTAATCAAGCATATTCATACACAAAAACATTTAAAGCTGCCAGTTAATGAGAGCTTCCAGCAAAGGGTAACCAATCCTTCCACTTAGGCACCTGTGCCCACACCCTCTCTTCTGCAGAAAATATGTTTTTTTAAAAAATGTGAAAACCTCTCCTAACCCAGCTTCCACCCGTACTCTCTGTCTCCCCCTCCTTTTATAGCTAAACTCCTCAAGAATGTTGTCTCTACTGTATGACAGGGCTTCCCTCCTTGTCACCTCCTTGTTAAGTCCTCCCAGGGCACGCCCGCAGTCTGGATGCTGGTCCTCCTTCCTTCCTCTTGCTCCCACTTGACGGGCAGCAGGATGCCACAGAGCTGAGCATTCCCTCCTCCGCAGTGGCTCCAGGACACCTCCGCTGGGGACTCTCCTCCACCTCACCCTTACCCCTGACTAGACTCATGTCCAGGCAGCCCCATGGGATCTGGATGCCTCAGAGCTCAGTCCTGGGACCTCTATGACCCTGATGCCTCGAGGCATCCCAGCTGTGCCTCCAGGTGCATTTCCACCAGCCCTTGGGGACAGTGAGCCCTCCCCTCCCCCCAGGCCCCTGTCCTCCCCGTCGGCCACCTGTGTTCCTCACCGCCCCACAAGCACACCAGGCAATCTCCTGCCTCAGGGACTTTGGTTGCTGTTGCCTCTGCCCAGAATGTTCTGCCCCGGCCTCTGCAGGACGTCGTCCCCTCCTGCCTCAGCTCTTCTCTCAGATGTCACTTACCAAGGGGTTTTCAGGCTACTGCGGTTCTCCACCCCCCAGCCCTGATACTCCTGCGCCCTTTCCAGATCTCTTTCTCATCTTTTATGACCATCCAACCTACTTACACGTTTTGCTTCACCTGTTCTCTCTGTCCGCCTCTCCCACTAAGAACAGAAGCCCCAGAGAGCACCTGTGCCCCTCTTTCCTCCGTTTTTGTTCTCTACTGTATCCATACCATTGGTGCATAATATTTACTGTGCTGCCTCTTATTTCCCCAACTTCATGGACAGTGACTTGGGAGCAGGGAGCATATCACAAATGTCGGTGCCAGGAACAGGGCCTTGTACACAGTAGGTGTTCAATAAAAGTTACTCCCAGTCCCTCAGTTTACTCTATTGACATGTAAGTGGCTTTGGAATGAGCTTAGACTTTGCATTCTTCATTGTGTAGACAAACATTGCTGGCTCAAATGTCAAGCCCCCCTGTGAGTTTAACGTTCACCTGGGACTTGGAGGTTGACGCAGGCAGGACAGATGGTACCACGCATCCTGGGGCTGTCTCACCCAACACTGTTTCTTTCCACAAGCCCACTTAGGTCAGCCGTACACTCATTCCCACATGGAGCTGCTGTTTGAGTTTTTTGTTTGTTTTTTTTTTATCTTTTTATAGATTTTCTTTCCACATGTTATTTTAAATGTCTTCAAAAATGGCAAATTTTTATCCTGTGATGGTACATTTTTGGAAATTGCCAAAAGTCATTCCAAACTAAATGTAGTGTAAAAGATTGATAATTAACCCGCAATACCATTTTGATTCAGAAAAACAAAGTGTAATTATTTTGTAATGGGCACTTCTCATTGGTGCAAAAGTATTTATAAAAGAAGAAGGGCTCCAAAAAGCATTTAAACAATTTTGTAATATAATCTTGAATTCCTAGGAAATTAAGTCTCTCAAAGAACTCATGGTTCACACACTACAGACAGAGTGGGTGCTTTAATGGATATTTATGTGTCAGTGTTAGCGTATTTGTTTTGTAAAGTGTCAACATGTCCTTTTTATTTCTAAACATACCTTAATTGGTACCTTAATTAGTTACCAAAAACTGTTTGGTCAGAACAGAATTTTTTGATATCATCGATTATCCTGGAATTTGCTTAGGGTTCAGTGCCACTTACTGAGAAAATGAGCTAGTTTCCTTCCTCTAATTTTGATATTTTCATCTGCAAACCTTCCCAGAATATATCACCCAACTGGTATTGGCACATGTTATCATGTAAGATTTTTTTCAGTAGATTTGGAATTAAATCTAGCTGTATAGAATCTTAAACAGAAACTGCCCTTACTGCAATGTTGCGTCCATTTCTTTTTTTATTTCTTTACCTTTTTATAACACCAAACTTAAAACATTTTTAGTTAAATTAATTAAATGCATATTTTTCTTACTTTATTTCATAGGTAATTTATAATTACCTAACTAAACCTGAGTGGTTTAAAAGTCATTGTCACCTCTTTGCCTGTCCTGACAGTATTTGTGGAAGTAATTTAAAAACAGAAAAAATTTTAAATAATAAAATACATGGATGCTGTTTTGCAACACTAGGTGGCGATGTACTTCCAAAGCGGGAATTCCCAGGCCATTGAAACCCATCCCTCACGTGCTGAATATTTCAGTTGCATAATTTTCAGAAAAGATTATTCAGCATTTAGTAGGTGAATGGTACTTGCGAGATAACCCAGCCCAAATGTTGATCACTGTTAGTTTTTTCTTTACTTTTTTACATATATTTATCCAAGAAGAGGGATGAGCTAGATAACTCAGCTTGGATCAAGTCCTGAAAAATCAAACATCCCTTTGAGAAAAAGAAATGTTCTAACTCTCACAGCTTTTTTAGATTACTTGAAAATGATTGGAAAGTGGCTTACAGGGAAAAAAAATATTTAGAAAGTGACAATTCAAAAAATATTGGAATGTTAATATATTCCAAAATGTCCCTTCAAAAGGGTAAATTCTGTACTCTCTGTATATGGACAAGCCCTCACTTTAAGCAGGATGTCAGAGAAAATTAAATGCATGGGTAACGTAACTGATTTTTCCCTCTGATTATTAACATCATCACAAACAGCACTGAGTAGGCTGGGGTCGATCTGCCTGCTCCACGTGAGTGACTTTCAAGCAGCATAAATGATGGAAAAACCGGGGAATCTATTAATTGTGGATGGAGAACTGCTAAAGATAACTACCTTCTTACGTTATCTTTAAAACATACATAAGGCGCACAGGACATGACCAGTTTCTGAGAGAAAATGTAGTTAGTGCAGGGGCACAGACCTGGGTGCAGGTGGCTGAGAATTTATCTTTAGGCTAATTGCAAATTCACGATTGTTTTTGTTGTGTTTAAACTTTGGATGAAATTGCAAATGAGCTTTACTAACTAAACTTCCTGCCTATTTCTGTACTCTCAGAATCTTTTCCACCTAAAATATCAGTTTACATTTCAAAGATGTTCTTTTTCTGCTGGTGGTTTCTGAAATGTCTATGAAGTTACTAGGTTGCCTTGCTCTTAAAAACTCACAAAAATTTCTCTCTGTAATCTGTTTTATAATCTGTGCCAGTATTCCTAAGATCTGCTGTCATAATAACGCATTGGTTTATATTTATTTTTTATGACATTTACATTTTCAAAGAAATGAAACACAATGGGTTGTTGACTCACAGCATCACTAGGACGTACATTTTGTATCACTTTCCTACATCATTTGAATCAGAGAATTGGATGTGATGTTGAAAACAGATAACTAAGAAAGTAACTCATCACGCTATGACTAGTTTTCTAGTTCTTATATAATACACTAGCTTCTGCATGTCCTATACTGTGTTAACTTATCTTGCAAAAAGAAGCTACCTCGTAATCAATCAGGCAGTGTGAGCGAATCCATAAAATGCATTTGACTCTAATGACATATCTTTATGGCCTTAGCTGTCCAACACCAGGATGTGATGGAAGTGGCCATGTCACAGGAAACTACGCATCCCATCGCAGGTACTTAACGACCTCATGAGCTATCAGACTCTCATCATCTTGTTCTGTTTTAAATACTTATCCTCACCCATTCTAGCAAGATGCTACCTGGATCAGGAAATGGAGTGTGAGTTAGTTGGGTTTTTGGTTTATTTTGTTTTTCAGAAATAAAGTTATGTGTTATAGAAATCATGATTCTTTCTCAAAATGGTTTTCTGATCCTGTAGTCAAGGATACAAACCAAAAGTTAGGGTTTGTGTCAGGCCTTGGTTCTGTCTAGCTTTAGGATTCATGTGGAACAAAGCAGAGAGGCGGAATCACTGGAGCCGACATCCACACAGTGGGAAGTGGCCACCTCCATCCTGGGCAAATACCAAGCTGAGGGTCAGAGAGATTAAGCAGTGCAGAGAGGCTGCATTGGACCTTTCTTTTTACCTGCTTAATTTACATGACTTGCTTTCCCTTTGGGCACTGGTCACACATCTCAGCCATCGTCCCCTGGTGATGCAAAGTCAACCATCATTGCATCACTGAATTCTACCGTTGGGGAGTCTCATTGGGTTAAAGCCCTTCATTTGATAAATAGCAAATCTGAGGCTTTGAGAAATAATTACAGTGTCCACGAGCCCAGACTGGTGAAAGTAGCAAAGCCAGATTCAAACCCATTTATTTTTTCCTGATCCCCAGTCACCAGTAATTTTATTTATGTTCACAAACTCAGGATGCTGCTTGAGTCGGGTTTGTATATGTCAGTGCTGTGTTTCATTTTTTTTCTCATCCTTCTTTAGTGTTTCCGGATGTCCTTTAGCAGATAAGACGCTTAAATCCCTCATGGCTGCAAACTCTCAGGAGCTTAAGTAAGTGTCAGGAAGCACAATGTCCCTGCCCTTCGCCCACAGGAGGGGACCCTCCTCATCCAGTACCAGTATGATCGGCGACAAGGAGTCAATCGTGCCTACCTGTATTATAATAAAGGCACTCTTTCCCCAAAAACCTGGAATGACTAAAGCCAAGTCACTGTAATTTAATTTAGTTAATGGATTCGTTTTGGGGGCTTTGTATTTTATAACAGTATTTAAAGGAATGGTGTGATAGCTAAACACAATGATTTTTTCTGTCAATTTCAGAATTTGTTTACTAAATCAGACCTACAAAAGTGTGGAAAAGCATTTCCATCATCTGATTTTGAGAAAATTGCATATACTCATATTTTTCGTCCTTGGCATTTTGAATCACACAATTGCCTTTCACTTTGGGGTGCTAAATACAATTTTGGCACATTTCTACCTAGTCTATAAGATCTTAAAGTCACATGTATATTATTTTTTACCTATTGATATTATTTTTCCTACTCTTCTTTTATTCCAAATTTCTCACTTATTTCATATTTTGTTATATTACATATAGAATAATATAAATTATGATCCACCTTGTGCCCTTTTTAAAACATAAAAGGGCATAAATTTAAAAAGATAAAAGAATAGCTTTAAACAAAACTAATGAAACTTATTTGCAAAAAATAACATTTTAGGAAAAATGAGTGTTACTATGTCTAGTGGTAAAACATCATTTGTGTTAAGTAGTAGAATGAACATTCGGGTTCTGAAACATATGAAACATTTCAGACATGACTTTTCCATAACTGTTTGTCAGGATTTCCCTTTTCTGAGTTGTTTTAAAATTTTTATCCAAAAATTACAAAAAAAAATGTTTATGAAAGATTTGATAATGAACAGATATAAAAATTTGGAGTTTTAGTACCAGAAATCGTAAGGGAACTATGAAATATACAACTTTTCTCATTTTCAAAGTGTATAGTACAATTTATTGTGTCAGTGTAGGTTCTAGAAAACATTTTGTTGACTTCCATTTTCTCTAGACTGAGATATAAGAATGTTAAGTAGAGACTAATAATTAACAGATTGAAAAGTGAGGTGTACCAGAATATCTTATTTAATTGTTCTAAAATTCTACATTGCCACATCTTAACTATAACTATTGATTCTTCTAAGTATTTTCTCTAAACATTATTTCTAGAAAAAATGTGTATAATACATTGAAAACATGCAAATTGAGAAGTCCTATCCTATAGCAATATTCAGACTTTACATGTTTTGTATAGCTGTCTAGTAAGTAATATGTTTGGTTTTTCTGTACAAGGAAAAAAAAGACATTTCATTGACCAATTGTTTAGGTATTTAAGGAGAATCATCAAAAAAGGTTATTTGGCACAGGTGTTTCCATAATTGCAATATACTAGTAAACTATCATTTCATTAAAAAAAAGTTAATAGAAAAAGACTAGCAAGAAAGCCTTTGTTATAGTAGAGAACATGAGTGTACTTCAAAAAATTATTGGAATGATTAGTATTATCTTTCAATTCTATTTTTTCATGAACTTTTTGAAGTACCCTGATACATATTATGTTTTTAAATGATTGATCAAAGACTCAGTGCAGGTTTCTGTGCTTAGCTGGAAAAGATGTGTGCTGATTTTATATTTCATTTGAAAAAAGCACTTCCTAATTTTCTTCCTCAACATTGGACATAAAAGCATTCCATGAAAGTTCAGTGGGATAGAATTTAAGAAAAGGGATAGTATTCGCATTTTCCTTTGGATTGTTTTTCTCAAATGGAACTCTTGTTTGAGTAGAAATCTAAACTATGGTGAGTGTAAATGTCAAATAATAAATGAAGATAAAGTCTACGAAAACCTTCAGAAAAGCAACTATTTCACAGTGGCCTCTGTTTTCATTTGTATTTGGGATTTCCATGAAAGGCAACAGAAAGGTGAAATCTGTATGCATTTTTGTATTCAAGTATATTTTGAAACCTATTCCTAATCAGCGGTCCAGCTGGATTTCCCTTTCTCTTTCACCCTTCTCCTTCCACATTTAATGGCTGATTGTCAATAATCTACTACTCTGGTAGATTTTCCCAAAGACCATTTAACTTGAGCCATGAGGCAGGACACACCAGGTACAAATCATTCAGGTTTTTTGGCTAATCATATTAATGCTTCAAGTCTCTGAAGTTCACATATACCACTGCTGTTTATCTAAAATTAATGGATTATCGTGATAGTATAGTATATCAGAGCAAAAAAAAATTGTTCATAAAAACAGCCTGGAGAACTTTTCTTCTTACATGAAAATAAGAACTTTATATGATATAGACAGAGCTCAGCAGTTAGTTGTGGGCTGACTTTCAAGGTCCTTCCAATATAAGGTTTAAAATACAATAAATAACTAATACGTTGTCTACCAAGCATCACTCAGTAGTTATATATCTTAGAATTTTCTTTAAAAACATATTCTTAACCAAAAGTTAATTATTTGTAAGCAAAGAGAGTCCCATAAGAAGCAAGTCATTCTGTTTAGATCTACTGGACTGCGTCCTGCTTCCCCTCCCTCCACCACCACCCCAAGGCCCATGCTCTGCTCCCGTGTTTTCCAGGTGTCCCACCCCAGGCTGTGATGGTTCAGGGCACGTGACTGGCAACTACGCTTCCCACAGAAGGTAGGAGTGACCCCATTTCTGAGAGGTGGAAATCAGCTTGTCGGCAGCAGTAGTCAGTGAGATTACATGGCTTTGTTTTGTTTTGTCGGGTACATATTTTAGCTTGTCTGGCTGCCCTCGTGCAAGGAAAGGTGGTGTCAAAATGACCCCTACCAAGGAAGAGAAAGAAGACCCTGAACTTAAGTAAGTGCCAGTTGAGGCATCTGAGTCAGCGGTAACTTGTTGGCCAAATGGGAGGGACCTTGACTGGGATGACACTGAGCATTGATTGAGTTGCGGGGAGGGGTCCCCCTATTAAACACAAGGATTCCAATCGAGAGTCAGATTGTTTGGAGATTTGAGAAAATCTCTCATTGATAGCTGTGTCCTCACAGTTCTTGGTTAATGCAAAAGAAAAGGATGAATGTTTACACTTTTCCCAAGGAAAGTAGCATTGGAGAAATGCTATCGAATGACAAATACGGCAGCATTTTCCCCTGAAACTTTAATTTTGCTTAAGATGAAATTGTATCTCAATTGAATTCCCTCCTCTAAGAAATATGCTACCAAGTCTTGGGTGATATATGTATGTATAGCTGTAGAAATCTAAGTGGCTTTCTCTATAACATTTCTGAGCACAATATTTAAACATTTGGAAATGAAAATTCCAGTTTGAGTGATGTGCTGTGTAACATTATTCAAGGCAGTTAACAATGGATTCTCTTGGTCTTTGTACAGAAGCAATATAGCGTAGGCCTTATGTGGTTGGCTCTTGAGCTGAAAAATGTGAGCATGAACTTGGCTCTGCTTCTTGTAAAATGGGCAACAAGTTACCTAAGCTCTATTACTCTCATTTTTCCCACCTACAAAATGGGATAATATCTCTACTCAGTAGGTTTGCAGTGACTATTAGATGAGATAATGCATGAAAACTGCTTAGCTCAGAGCCTGCACACCATTATTACCACTGACACAATGCTGTTCTGCTAGTTGTAGTGGCGTCTCTTAAATCTCTCTGATCTCATGGCTTGCCTTCTGTATAGTATGGGACTGTCACTGCCTTCTTCCCAGCTGGTAATGTCTCTGCTGTGTCTCTCTAGATGTCCTGTGATAGGGTGTGATGGCCAAGGTCACATATCAGGTAAATACACATCACACCGCACAGCTTCTGGCTGTCCCCTTGCTGCCAAGAGACAGAAGGAGAATCCTCTCAATGGGGCCTCACTCTCCTGGAAACTGAACAAACAAGAGCTGCCACACTGTCCCTTGCCAGGCTGCAATGGGTTGGGCCATGTGAACAATGTTTTTGTCACCCACAGAAGGTAACATTTGTTTTCTGTCTTTTTATTGTGGTGCTGTTGTGATTGGTCATCAGCTGGTTTGCTTGGGGGGAGTGGAGTTGGGGGGAAAATCCCTCCTAAAAAAGCACTTTGATTTCACAATATTGAGTCTTGCTACATAGATATTTGACCGGTCTGAAGACTGAAAAATGTTATTTTTTCCATTCACTACACCATTTTCAAGTGCTCTAGACACTGTGCATTT